GGTTTATTTTCATTTCAGAGATACCCAGTGGTGATGTCTACTTATCTGGGGATCATGGGTAGAGTTCTACTACAAAATGCAAGGTTTTTTTCATTACTTTTGAGCCAGATGGCATGTGAATTGGGTCAGGAGGTATGGTTTATTGTCCTTTTTTGTCCTTTTGAGTTTTTTGTGTCTTGGTATTTCAGCTGTATTACTTAGGGAAATCTTGCTTTCTTTTGACCTGAATAAATTTTTCCCTCTATTATCTGTGCTGTTCCTGCCCAGTCTTGAAAAGAAGCTCTTCTCCTTCCTCCTCTCTGTTCCCTGAACACCCTGTAGCAACTTCCACATGTTCCTATAATTAGTTAAAACATTCCATTCAAATTTTTATATAGTCCCTAAATTTTCTTCCTGCATCCCACAGTTAGCCATGTAAATGGCCTTAGTTCACATTCAATTGTAGGATGAGAATTTCTTTCCCTGTACCATCTCAATGGGTCTTGCAGCCTGGAGAATGGTCTAATCATTCTCCCCTGAATTTCTAGAGTATCAAATACAGTGTGCTTCAGTTTCACTGGTGAAGTTACTGAGAGTCTTTTGCTTATTCTGTTATGTCTTTCAGTGAAATTTGCTTTTCTGGGGTATAATACAGTTTTCAAACAGATAATATCTAGTCTTTTTAAATTTGTCACTGTGTAGATAAAACAGAATAAGTCCATGTGCTTTGTTTCTGTGAGACTGTTAGGGAAAAACTGAATAATTTGCTGTCCTGAATTAGTTCCCTGTCCGTAAATTAAATGAATCTCAAGCATCTAGGTTACAGCTGATGGTATGGAGGGTTCAGACCCTAGAAACATTGTCATAGAAAATTTAAAAAGTACCTGTTGCTTATTACTTCTGTCAGGCATACAGCTGTATAGTGTCTTTCCAAGACTAAATAATGTATTCATTTGTTAGAAAAATTAAAATAAGTTATTTTCTAAACACACTGATGTACTTATAACTGAAAAAGAATATTGTGTTTCCCAATGCAGTTGGACCAAATTCTTGGTAACATGATTGAAATGTGGGTTGATCGGATGGATAACATCACTCAGCCAGAAAGAAGAAAACTTTCTGCTTTGGCATTGCTTTCTCTTCTGCCATCATTGAACAGGTAAGAAAACATATGTTACCAAAGGCCCTTGGAATTGTTTTTAAAGTATTTCACAATTCTGCAGCTAAATATTCCAATACAAATAGTTTTATTTGCTTGTTTTTCTCCCCCAAGAGAGATCTTAAAAAGATAGAACTTCTATGCTACATTATATTAACTTTTTATTTGACTTCATAAGCATTACAGTAACCTTTCTTCCATTTCATAGGCAATGTCATTTAGTTAAAGTGAGGAACCAGCATTGCAGATTTTATTATTGATTCTCATATTAACTTAGAACTATCTGCTTCTCTCATCTGTGATTAAGTACTTGCTTTAGTTGGCATGTTACTATTTTGGTGTCCCTTCCAGGAAACAATGTTCAGTTTTCTTTCCTGTTGTAGGTGATCTGAACTTTCATCCTGGTTTTCTCCTTTATGACATTAAATGGAAGAAAGAGTTGCTATGGAAGACTGTGTTGTTGCTGTGAAACAGTTTTTCCACTGTAGGTTTTACAGCAAGGCGATTTTACTATTATCCGTTCAGTAGCCATCATCATTGCTGGATATACATAGAAAATGAAAGTTTTAAATGAAAATGCTGAATACAAGGTTGTCAATACTAGAAGTCATGTATAATCCGTTTAGGTGAGAGTTCAGTCTGTGGTTACCTTCAGATTATTTTTATCTGTTTCACATTCAGGAAGACAAGACTGCATGAGTTTACATTTAGTCTGCTGGGTTTCCTGAACAGTCTTGTCTGTTATTGTGTGTTGAGAATTTAGATGTTGCTCCCAAATCCTAAAAGCTACGTTAGTATCTGTAGAATATGTAGTATTTGTCCAAGCTGTAGTCTATGTAGTCACTATCTAAAAAAAAAAAATCAGGGAACACTTATGTGTAATTTAGAGGCTTCACTGTTTTTTATATACACAGAAATTTTCCCTTTTTTTGGTCAAATGGATAGTCAGGATGACCATCTAGCTAAAGGTGAACCAAGCAGCTGTTTTAAAAGGTTTTCCCCAGTAAATGTAACAGTATTATATTGTTTATAAGTATATTTGAAATGTTTTTAAGGAGGTGTTAGCTAAAATTTAAGGTGCTGAACTACATCTGTCTTCCTGTGAAGTTTCTGTTAAAGAGAGGAAGGAAAAAAGTAAATTCCTTTAGATAACCATGTTATTTTGAACTATGTTCAGCTGCTCCAGATTTCCTGCTGTAAAAGCCAATTATTTCTGGCAGTCCTTAACTTAATAAAACCTTCTGCAAATGACAGTTTTATTTTTCAGTTACCCATATCATTTAAGAAAGCCGCTTCTCAAATAAAAAGTCTCTCTTTAGTGGACATATTCATGTCAAAGCTATGAAAAATTCACTTACACAATAATACTGCCAAACTTAGCTGTAGACAGAGTGTGTGAAATGGATTCTGTCAATTGATTGTTCCTTTTACTAGAACAATGTGAGCCACTTTGGTTTTGCTGTATCTCAGGGATTACACTACATGTGATTGCTGCATCCTGTATCTGCAGGTTTCTTGTGCAAGTAATTTGCACAGTTGAAACAAAAATAAGTTTTAAATTAAATACAGTATGTAAACAAAATGTTTGGATTTATGTGTTTTCAAGAAAAGCTAAAGTAATTTTTCCTGTTGGAATGCCTTGCTAACCAGTTTCCTGATTAGATTTTACTTTGGATATCCAAGGTAAGTTCAGAATTTCTCAACTGCAGAGGCAGAACAGAATTTTGTCCTATGTGGATGGCTGATGGGCTGTCTTGGGAAGGGCAAGGTGAGGGTGTGATTCTTCCCTCAGCTTGCTGCTCTGTGGTGGTCAGGATTGTTGCCAGTAGCAAGCTCAGATTTTCAAGGTTCTGCTGAAAGGAAAGCAGGCATCTGTGCTGTGTCTAACACTTTCTGAGAATTTTTTTCCTTTTGCCAGTCGCTTTCTCTAGCCTATAGCTGAAGTACTGTTTTATTTTAGAGAGGAAAGAGAGGTAGTAGACAAAAATAGTGGGGGAAAAAATGAAGCTAACATGTATTCTCATTCTTCCCTCTGAGTTGTTTTATGGATCAAATGATGGGGAAAGCTTTAAACAGTGATAATTTTTATTCTCTGTGTAAACTCTATAGTATTATTTCATTGATTGTAATTGTTTCTCTAGTTAGTGATCAGGTTTATAATTACAAATATGTGGAACTCTGGACTTTCTGCATTTTAGGGGAAGGTAAAACGTTCTGTCATTATTAATTTAAAACCAGTTTGGACACAAATCATTTTCTGTTTCAAGTACAGCACCTTTGACAGTGTCAAGAGTGAAGGACTTTAGAGCAGGTAAGACAGGGTTCACTACAGAGCAGTTGTTCACAGTGGCTCTTGGGGTGACTAGTTTGACCAAGCAGGTTATGAAGTGACAAATTGTTAGCCACTCTGATTTTCTCATCTAGGCAGTACCATCCAGAGATAGACGTAATGGCATACTTTTGGTATCAACAGTAGTGCTGTGTATTAATAATATATGCATGTCCTTCAGTCTAGCATCCTGTTTATCTTTCCACAGCTGCACATTGTGTTAGTGGTTAGAAATTCATATTAAAAAAGAACAATAACTGCTGCTTTCCTGATTAGTGTGTTGCAGCACCTTTTCACGGAACAGTAATTTCCTGGTATTACTTAGGGGTTTGCCCAAATTAAATGCTATGTAATTGTCTGCTTCTGCTATCCAAGCGCAGTCAGTTAATGTTAGCATGTTTTTTGGTGTTTGACAGATACATGCGTTGGCAATATTATCTGTATTTTGTATTCTTACTGTCTGTTTATCACTCATCCATCCACGTGCATTTTCATTAATTTATTAAAAAACTATGTCATAAAATAGGTTGAAGACGTCTGTCTTTAAACTGTTGTATATAACAGCGTGGACCAGTAACACTTGAGGCTGTAAGGATGTTAGGCACTTGTAGAGTGGGTGCCTCCATGTTCAGTACATGAGGAAAATGTGCACAGACACACAGTAGCTCTAACAGGAATGGCTTTTTGAAGAACATGCAAGGACTTGAAGTTTTTTTGGAGGAAAATTGTATTTGAGTTAGAGTGTGAGACATGAGGTGTGACAGCAGCCTGGATGAGTAAATTCACAAATGCTGTGATTTTCTTACTGTTGTATTCAGTCATATTTGTGCTTGTCTACAACCTTAATGACTTGTTTGTGAGCATACAGCTACTCTTCAAGCCTGAGTTGAGTTTTATTCGATGTGCCCTTGGTCCCTAAAGTAGTGCCTAGTGAATATGGTCAGTAGCAGCATTCTTCCTCTTATTTGTTGTGGAAAATGTATGGGCCTCCACCACTATCTGGGGTTCTGCATTTTGAGCTCTTCAGTATCCTTTGTAGTTCCTGATGCCAGAGTGGCTAAAACAGTACTATGGCCCCTTCTCCTACTCATATCTATCTATCTATCTATCTATGTGGAAATAATTAGCTTGCTTATTGCAGTATAATAACAGTATTACAGTGTTTTGGAATGTCCTTCTTTGGTGATATTGAAAGCTTTTAATGATTTATTTAGCAAAGTACATGTCTTTTTTATTCCTACACTTGTGTGTATTTTAGTGGAGCACAGACAATACTGAAAGATGCTAAAGAGTGAGTGATAGGAACATTTATTCTCTAATAAGGAAATGGAAACAGATTTTGGAAGGATTATAGTGTCTGATCAGCCTTGTTTGGGGTGTACCCACACATAGCATTTGACACCATTTTGAAAGCTAAGTGCTCCCCTTCTGCAGGTGAATGTTATTCCACTATGTCTGTCACTCTTGAATGGGAGACTATGTTTACTCTTACTGAAAGTCAGTGCTTTCCAAAAGAGGCCACAAAATGCTATGTCTGTCACTCTTGAATGGGAGACTGCTATGTTTACTCTTACTGAAAGTCAGTGCTTTCCAAAACAGGCCACAAAATGTGGTCCTTGAGGATAGGCTAATTTTGGTGGAACTACCTGTGCAGAGTGGTACCATTCTAAAGTAGAGGAGACTTTACTGAGCTTAAATTTAATTTATCTTTCTTCATTTTAGTTTCTGGTACATGAGTAGTTTTCATTTTACCCCTTTGAGTTAAGTGTGTTTATGTATAGTGGGGAAGGGGTTAAGAGCTTCCCCAGGTTTGTAATCATTATGTAAATAAATGTCAGCTTTTCCTCACTGTGTATCAAGTCTGATATGTCAGCCAGTATGAGTTCTGCTAGTTAGATAATTGGCATTTTGTGAGTGTAAGCACTTACAGTATGCAATTATAATTTTCATTAGATTATTATAGAGCTTTGCCTCTGTCATTTATTAAAATTATTTAGTTAGAAATTTTAATTTCCCTCTCAAAAAGTTGTCTACATGTAGTGTTAGTTAAATGGCAAGAAAGTGCCTAATAAAATATCATGTTCTCCTCAGGATAGTTATGTCCTCATTTATAAAGTCAGAATTTCTTGCATAATTACTTGTACATCCTCCTTTCTTTATAGGGATGATACTCTGAAGCTATTTTATCTTCCCCTCCATTTTTTAATCCCTCTAGTTAAAGGAACGCTTACCCATGCCTCTAATAGACTATTAGCATTTAAAGGATCTCTTTAAATTATGATTTTGCAGTTGTCATCAGTGTTTGGCCTTGGATTTATTTAGCTTGCCTGACAGGTAACAGTGCAATTTTAATGAGAAGAGTGAAAAATGTGGCTTTGGTCTTAGTCTGACTATCAGAGTCTGCATAATTCAGAAGGTTACACAGAGCACTGCCAACTTCTTTAATTGTGTGTCACATTATGACATTGCCAAACGGATGCACTCATTAAACTTTCCTTTTCACAGTCTTCATCAATTTTTCTCCTACACTTGATAGGTAGTGGACTGGTCAGGAGCATATTACCTGTTTCCCTAAGAACCTTAAGTCTTGATTTCAAGGAAAACTGTACCAAGTGATAGCAAGAAATCATGTCACTAATTGCAGCTAAACTGCTGCAAAAAAATAAACAGCAGTCAGAAGGGTTTGGTTGCTGCTGCTATTTTGTTTTTGTTTATGGCCTATATAAAATATTTCAGAAGTCTTTGCTAAAACTGTTCTAATTATGATTTACCCTGAAATGTCAGATTTTAATTATATAAAAGCAAAAGTAACAGAGTAACTAGCTTCCTTCAAACTCTGCAATGTATGGTTTACATGTTTGCAAATTAGATACTGAATAAGTAGTGACTGAAATATAGCATATTACTAAAAATGTGTAAATATCAGAAGATTGTAACAAAAGTAAAAGAAAATCCCAAACCCAAACCACAGATTTACAGCTGGTTTTGCACCTGTGTTTTTTTCAGCTGTTTGGTACATCTGTTTATCTCTCTGTGCTGTACTCTGTGAAATTTGAGACTGACAGAGAGTAGCTGAGATTTTTCAGTGGCTTTCTTTAACAGTGCCAGACTATTATGATAAGATACCAGGAGTGATAAACACCACAACCCATGTCACTACAAGACCTTCTGCAAATAAGTACTGTCTTGAAAAAGAATGTTTCATATTCAAATAATTTAATGACAAAGTGAGTTTGAAACAAAACATCAGGTTTTGATATTAAAAAAATGCCCAAGTGTAAAGAAAGCATATATTTTTAAGAAATAGCTTTTGTATTTTGTGTGTGGGCATTCTCTGTGGTAGTTGTTAGGAACTGTTGAGGTTTCCTCTGTTGAATATTTGGAGCTATCAGTTGTTAATGCCAAATGTATGCCCATCCTGTCTCCTAAACTAGCAGGCAGAGTGTGGTTTTGGAATTGCGTTTAGTTTAGATTAAATTTCTAGAAGTTGAAATTTGGGAAATTGAGTTCTTTGAACCTTTTGGTTTGAATTGCATTCATATTGAGTACATTGATGCTTTTGTAGTTAGAACAGAATTGCTAAGTATTGCAGTGAAAATAAAGGGTAAAGCTACAGTGTTACTATCAGTATATCACATCTGCGTGTTACATTCATGGCCAACCTTTTTTATATTACTGTTTTGTTCACAAACTTAGTGGTTGCTCCATAGAAGACTTAGATTTCTGAGTAAAGAGAAGAAACTAATTTCTCAAAGTGAGATTTTGGTTTCACAAGGGCTTTCTGTCATATTATTTTACTAGAGTCTAAGGTCAAATTAGGTTTATGGAATGGAAACTTATTTTCATATCCTCAATAGGAAAAATAATTTTGTCATTTTCACGCTGTGGAAGAGAGAAATTTTTGGTGAATGAAGCAGCAAGTCAGGAGTCTTACTGAAACAGAAATATTAAATACTAGAAGGAATCTGCAATATTTGAGACAATCAGAAATGTTTAGGTAAACTAGATAATGAGAAAAACAGAAAAGTGTTTTGGGATCTGTTAAGTTAGTAAGGTGTCAGCAGTTCACCTGCCTACTGGATGTTAATTAAATGTTGATGTCTGTGCTACCTAAGCAGTAGTTTAGTTTCTGAATTGCTTTGATTTGGGGTCATATCTAGAGATTATGTGGGCAGAAGGAAGTACGGATTTGAAAAAATAAAGTTTTACAATAGTTTACTTTTGGAGAATAAAAGTAGAAGGAAGGAAGCCCTGCTAGAGCAGATGGTTGCTAAATACATAATGGGAGGGCAATAAATAGTTTCACTCTTAAAAGCTTAAAAGAATAATTTCAGTTCTAAAAATTGTTTGTCCTCATTTGTGAGCTTTAACAGAATTTTGTAGTGATTATGAGAATGAAATCCCTTTTCAAAAATTGATTTTAGACCCTGTTTTTGAAATTCTTGCATGTTTTCTGCTGTACATAAGTGGGATTTGGATGACTAGTTTGTGCCACCTAATATTTGTTATATTGTTTTTAATGTAACAAGGGTGAAGTTCTTGTATGTTCTTTCAATTACTTTGACCTGTCATTTTATGCACAATTTGACAAATTGCTGTTACTCAGGCTTCATGCTTGTATTTACAAAGAGTCATAGCTGAACTAGATTTTAATGTTAAAAAGCCAATAGCATTAGTAACTTCAGTATTAGTATATTAAGATAGAATTCACTGGTGGGTTCAAAAATAATTTTCTCTATTACCATGTGAAGCTGTATTCAGGTAAAAACCTAGAAGTTCTCTGTCTGCAGACGAAAATTTAAAGTGAATGAAATATGAGAGCAGCCTAAGCTTGTTAGTGTTTCCTGGGTTTTTTCATACAGTTTTAAAAAAATAATTGATTTTATTGTTTAAGCATGAGCTGCTTTAAGAAATGCTGATCCAAGTTACACATGTATCCCACCCAGGTTTTTTTATGGTTTTCCCTGAAATTGTGTCAGTCATGTGACATAATTTTGCACCTTGTTCTTAACAGATACTGCTTTCAGATACATGTAGTATTAATGAAATAATAACTCTAAATTACATTGCAATCAGATCTGCAGGCCTTTGAGTGCAGTATTGACAAAGGGTAAAGCATGACTTCTCTAGATTTCCTAGTGCAGAATAGGAGGAGCCATGATGTGTATTAAGATTTTTATTCCCGTTTTCAGCATGGGATTCAACTATGAGAAGAGTCCTCAGTGTGGTCTGAATCACAGTGGAGCTAGGGTTGAAGCAAAAATTTTGTGAATATTCATAAAGTACTTTCAGTACAAGACCACAGAGATATTTAGCCAGTTACTGGTCATCAGTTTTCTTTTATCTGGTCACTGGTTCCTCTAAATTTTCATGCTGATATACCATAGAGCTTCATTAATTCCTTCAGTTTTTCAAAATGTGTTGCTTATTACATTTTGCCGAAAGAGAACTCTATGAACATTTGCCTTTTGAAACTTTTTTTCTTTTAAATTTGAGTTACTTCTTGTAGCTATAAAGGGTTGTTTCATGCAGCATACCTTGGAAGAATATAATATATTTTTTTTTGTTTGTGGTTTTTTTATACATATAGGTTTCCATATAAAGAGATTATAGGCAGTGAAGTCTAGGTAGAGGATAATTTCCTGTTTGAAATCACTTTAGATTTTTTGGCAGTCTCTGATTTTCCCCTCATCTGACTCTATTGATAATCTTTTTCCGTTACTCTTACTGTTCTGTCCCCCATCCAGGATACTTCACCAATCCTCCTGTGGACTCTACAGTATTTTCCCTTTAAGTAAATGACATGAGATTTAATTTTACTTGATGTCAACAATTATGTTAAATACTGTGAAAAAATATAAGTGTGAAAATAAACATGTAAATCTGAAGAAGAATTTGTTTTGCTATTGATCTATTGGTGTCAGAAAAAAAGAAACAAATGCAGTTCTAATTCTGGGTTGTAAGTGATACAGACTTTGTCTAAAATGGCCCACGGACCAATTTTACTTACTTATTTCTTATTTTAGACTAGGATTTGGAAGTAAGCTTCTTCAAAAGCGTGCACTTGTCTATTCTGCTTCCCTTTCTCATGTGTGTCCTGCATTTCAGATTGTATTATATAGACAAAGACATTTGGGTTACATTTCACCCCTTACGTGAGCTCACGCTTCCTGTGTGAGATCACTGTAGCTGAAGGGACTTGATTCTCCTGCTGTTACGCCTCTTTTTTGGCCCTGGCTACTGATGGGCTTTGTCATCTTTCTTTTGCTGAGCAGAAGGTCTCATTGCAGTAAAATAATGGGGTTTTAGTTACGTTGCTATTTGTAGTCTTAATCTCCCCTTTCCCCCTTTGATGATGTGACTGAGCTTTGCACGTATATCGCTGTGATGGTAAACTGAGGGTGTAATCTCCAGTCCTTAAGCAAGAGGGATATTTATAGCCCATGTAGTGTTTTTCTGCACAGGGGACACTGCGGGAAATGAAAGCTGTGCATGAAAAGTGTGGCTCTCAGAGCCGGAAACCATCTCATAGTCCTCTGTGGATAAATTTGGTTTAAGAAGGGTTCCTAAAGTGAGACTTAACAAAGTGCTTGGGTCAGGTCAGAAATACAAGTAAATTGCAGCTTAGTGCTGCATCATGTGGGGCTCATGTCCTAAGACTTCACAGGTTTCTCTGGGATTGCTGGCAGGTTGTGCCTTGTCAGAGGGCAGGAAACGCTGAGCTCTTCCCTCCTGAGTGTGTTTCTTTTCCCTCTCAGCCAGACCACTGGAAGTTGTATGCATGTGGCAGCAGGTTGGCTCTGTAGACAGTGAACAGTGTTAAGTGTTGCTACCAGTTTGATAAAGCATTTCTGATTCCGGCTGAAAGATAAGGGAGTTACAGGTAATGCAATAGTGCTGTTACAAGTAGTTGTGCTTTATTCTGAAAGTTAGACCTTAGATAAAACTCTTTTAAGCTCCCCTGCTTAAATCAGTGGATTAAAAAAAAAATCAGAAAAAGAACAAAAAACAAAACCCCAAACCACAAAACCCAGCAGTTACAGACTAAGATAGTTCTTGGTTTTCTAGAAACAAATCATTGAGATTTCCTTTCTAACAATACTTCTGAAGCACAGATAAAATGGCTTCCTGTCCCAGGGTTTCCTGTATCCATGGCAACCTGACTTCAGGCACTTCTTTCTTAGTTTCCTGAGCAAACTGTTGCAAACCCTGGGGCAAAAATGTGAGTGCTGTAGTACACAGCAATACTGCCTTTACAAAGGTTTCACAGAGGAATGTAGTTGGTCAGCTTATAACATAGTCTAGTGGACTGCAAACAGCAAAATAACGGAAATAATGAACTTCAGATTTGGGGTAAGGAAATGCTTCTATTTATTTTAAATGTAACTCAGCTTTATAAAAGTAAAATGCAAATTGTAAGTGATCTGCCAGTAAAATGTAACTTGTTTACAGTTGGCATTTCTACTTGAATGCTTTTGAAACATTTCTTAGTGATGGTTAACTATTCTTATATATAAGAATATATAGCATTTTTAAATTAGTAGAAGCTGTTATTTTGGCAGCTTAGATACTTTTATTCTACAGCCAGTTAAATATTTTCTGGCTGTGTTAGTGGTATATTTATGTAATTGTCCATTTACTTAGAAAAATATTTTGCAGTGAAGTCCAGTTAGTAAGTTGGAGTTCTAAACTGCTTCTTTGGCATGAAAGAATAATATATAAAATACCAATTTTGAGAGTAATGCTAATATTTTTAAGACTGTACACATAGATTCAAATAATTATTAATAATTAAAATATGTAATAAATATATTTGAATTAATATTTATATACTTCTTTTTATCTCTACTAGTGAAGTCAGAGAGGAGTAAGAAGGCCAAAGACAGGGATATGTGTGTTCTGCAAAGTTCTTCACCCTGCCCGGGAGCATTCCTGTATATATTTAATTGTTTTCTTTTGTTGCTGCTTCCGAAGGAGGCTTTTGGCTGTCCATCTGCTTGTCAGCTCTGCACAGGGAGACAAGTTAGCTGTCGTAATGCAGGGCTTTCGAGCATCCCTTGGAACCTTCCTAAAACAACAATTGTTGTTTACCTCAGTGGGAATAATATATCACATGTCACTCCGAATGATCTAAGAGGCTTTCTGAAGCTTGCTGCACTCTACATGGATAATTCCAGTATTTCGTATGTACACCCAAAAGCTTTTGTGGAACTCACCAAACTCTGCTACTTGCATCTAAATAGCAATCATATTAAACGCCTGGATCCAGGAATCTTTGAAGGCCTTTCCAATCTTCATTGTTTATACCTTCAGAACAATCAAATAGCTTTTCTTCCCAGAGGATTATTTAGTGATCTTCTTTCTGTTAGATATTTAACACTTCAAAGAAATCGTCTCAGTGTCCTTGGAAGTGGGACTTTCTGGGGAATGATAAGTCTCCAAACACTAAACCTAGCAAATAATAAGATTTCACGGATATCAGATGCAGCATTTCATCATCTTGAAAATCTTGCATATTTATTTCTTGAAGGTAACAACTTACCACTTGTGCCATCAAATGCTATTGGAAGGCTCAAAAATCTTGAAAGACTTTCTTTGTCTCACAATCCCATTGGATCAATTCAGCCTTTTGCATTTAAGGGACTTAATAAGCTTAAATATCTGTCTTTGAAAAATGTCAAGCTAAAATGTGTTGCTGTAAATGGATTTTTTGGATTAAACAACCTTAGCCAGCTAATCTTAAGTTATAATGATTTAGAAAATATAAATTCCAGTACTTTTATCTTATTGAACAATTTAATGTATTTACAGCTAGACAGAAATAATATAGCTAGTATTGGCAATGGTACCTTTGAAAAAATGGGGAAGTCACTCAAAGTACTCAATTTAGCATTTAATAATATCACAGAGTTACAACCTGAAGTGCTCAAGCCCTTAGTGTCTTTAACTCATCTGCAGGTACATTCTAATCCTTGGAACTGCAGCTGCAGAATGCTTGCATTACTTAATTGGCTAGCATCATCTTCTGTTTCTGCAAAAATACACTGTCAGCATCCTGAGAGTATGCGTGGTAGACCTTTGCATTATATGAAATGGGCTTGGTTTTCAAACTGCATTGGCCCAACTGCCAGCCCAGGCTCTGCCCCAGGTCTGGGATCTGTCAGGGTGCATCACAGCACTACCACTCTGCTGATGGCCTGGCATAAAGGGAACAGGCACAACACATTGCAACAGTTTGTCACTGCAGAAACCAAGTATATTGCTTTCTGGGAGGGAGCTACAGCTACATCTTCTACCCCATTGACTTACCAGGAATATGCTGTTGAAGTGCCATCACAGGCAGCTGCAGTGTTATCAACATCACCAGTTCAAATACCAGCAGAAATTACACCTACTAATAGAAATGTAGAAGAAGAATGGTTGTTTACAACTGACCCTGCTCCTGTATCATTAAAAACAAGCCTGATTTGTACACAACAGGTTGAAAAGCTGAATCAAGCTTTTGATATTTTACTAGCCTTTTTCATTCTGGCTTGTGCTGTTATCCTGTTCTTAACCTGTATAATTATTCAGTTTAGACAAAAACTAAAGGTGTTGGAAAACTCAGGGGAAAAGAGTATAGAATATTATGGCTTTTATCAGCCTGGCAGATACAACATAACTGACTCAGTTCAGTCTCTAACTCGGAAATCAGTGGAACATTCAGAACTGGACCAAATAAGGCTGCTCAAGCGAACAGTATCAGAAAGTCAGGCACAGGTCATCTTGTTCGAACATTCATCATTGTAATTTGTCTCGTTTGATTTGGTGTTAACAGGGTTATGAAAGGTCAAGAAATCAAGAACTCAATTCTGTAAAAAACCTCCACCAATTAAAATCAACCGCTTAATAGGACTGTGGAAAATGGCACAATTTGGGTTCTGCATCAACATTTGCTTACTGAATGTTTTGAAATTTGTTGATCATTTCATTATGTCATTTCAATCTAACATGGATAAGCTTATTAATCTCAGTCCCTATTTGTAGTAATCATTCACCTATGCTCAAGTATACATGCAGTATAAAGTGCACTTTAATTTATTTTGCCATACTTAATGATGTAATGATGGGATCACAAAGCCAAGAAATATTGGGGAATCGGAAAAGAGAGTTTCATGTGTTTATTGTAATAGAGTTTTTACTCTTCCTCTATTAAATAAAGCACAAGGAATAAAGCACATTTACAGTTAGCATGTTCAAACTCTTGAGTAAAAGAGTAAAAAGTAAAAAAAAGTAAAGAGAAAAATTTCAAACTATACAAATTCTATTCATACCTGTAGCATATTGTAATATACAAAGTTGCGTGTGCAGTCTGTATAATGAAAATATTAAAGTGACTTTTTTATTAGTGTGTATCGGTATTGTTTTATGAAATATCCCAAATTGGAGTTAAGAAAAGCAAAATTGCTGTTGCAATTTACCAAGTGTAATGACCAGATTTATTCTTTCTAAGGTAATAGAGCTGGTTAATTATTGTCAATAAAAGATCATCATTTATGTTATCTATGTAGTAATATTTTTAGGGACTTTAGCTAGATAAGAGGTGCATATTGAAGAAATACACTACACTGTAAATACATACTGCTGAATTAATGGCTGAAGGCATTTATATATGTGGTTTATATTTGGAGGTGTCTGGTCAAGATATGTGTTCTTAGTTAAAGCTTCATCTTCAAACTAGGGATATTTTCTTTTTTAGTTTTCATATAACTTTTTATTTCTATTTCAAATGTTGGAGTTGTGTTGTTGTCAGATATGCTGTAGCTTTATTTTTAGCCTGAATTTCTGGGATTTTTGTTTTTCTATTACTTTAATAATTCAAACTTTATTCTGGAATTAAATGTCATAAAACTACGTGCCAAATAGTCCAATGTTGTAAAATTTTCAACCAATGGGACTTTGATACTGTTTTTCTTGTACAGGCCTGTGCCCTAGAGATTTCAGCCATGTTTATAAGTTACACAGCTAGACCATTTTCCTGAAGGAAAAGTGGGGAACAATGCTTTGATAGACTTTCCTCCATGGTGTTGATTTAAATTATGTAGACGTATGTTGCTGTTCCAGGCTTCAGCCCGGAGTCTGTTGCATTTTGCAGCTGAGCCAGAGCTGCTCTCAGCATTCTTGTTCTCTCCCCTTTCTTTCCTGGTGCGTGTATCCGGGCTGTGCAGGTCTCCATCATCCTGTTTGTCCATCTGCAGTTCTTTTCCAGCAGGGAAAAATCTATTATCTGCTACCAGAACATATAGAAATCTTGACTGCACTGAATGGGTGTGAAAGTGCAAGTATGACTTCATTGTTTGTTATTAGTGTAATGAAATAATACTGTATTTGACTATAATTCATGGTATCATAGATCAAATACTTCTAGGAAACACACAATTCAGCTTCTTGGACAAAAGCTTAAACTGTTCAGTATTGCTTGAGTAGAAACTATGTTTTAAAATTATTTTCTAACTTAAGATCAGATGTTAAATATAATGGGCAAATACTTTTAAGAAGGGAAAACACTGACTGTAAGTTATGCACTTTTTTCCAGAGGCTAATCCACTGCAACCTCTTCCTTTTTAACCCATTTTTGTTACCTTCTGTCTCTCCATAATTCGTTGTGATAAATATTTTACAGAGGAGTTTTGGTAGTACACAAAGGTTAAAAACTGAATAAACCTAATTCTCAATTCTCAAAGAAATCTGGCAGGGAACAGCTCTGTTATTTTAGGCTCTGGTTTCCACAGCTGCTCTTTACAGAAAGGCATGAGAGCTTCTCTCTGTAGGTTCATCTTTGTCACTGACAAGCTGCTGGGGGAGTTGTTTGCCAGGTCTTCGTCTCACCATCTGTAGTGGTGGAACATGAAAGGAAACTGGTGTCACAGCTGTTTGTGCAGCAGAGAGTTGGAGCCATTGAAAGCCATCCTTTGGAGTGGAGACATCCTCAGATAACCAGCTTGCCAACACAGGGATTAGACTAACAAGGCACTGAGAGATTTATTATGCAGTTGTGAGGGAAATGCCTTTCTTTAGCAGTCAGTATCTTTTGTATTTAAATGTTCACATGGGGAAACCAACCCTTTCATGTACACATGTAGTTCATATATCAACTAAAGTCATTAGGGAATAATTAGAAGCCTTAGTGAAGCCTGCCTGCCCTTGTGAAGCAAAGTGGTGCTTCATGAAGATCTGGTTTATGGTCACTCATAGGACTCCCTGGAAATACTGTCTTAGCTGCTACTTCACTGCTTTAGGAGCTCCCTAGAACTGTGCAGGTCCTAAGGGGTGGGGGGTGTGTAACAATCACTTACATCACTTACAGTATGTGCAGAGTAATATCTGCTTGTCCCATTCCACCTCTTTCCTTGGCTAATGAGATAAGAAAAAAGAATTAATTAAGCTTTCTCAATATGTAAACTAGTAAAGATATGAAATCAAACTCTTCTTGGTGTTTGCATCATTCTGGCGAATGCAGAAAAGCAGAAAATGTTTTATCTTTTTTATCTCTGAAAAAGTATTTTTTCTTATACAGGTTTTTTTCTCCTCTGAGGGATATGCAAAGTAGATATGGGGTGCATGATGATAGAGCTTTGTCCACTAGTTGGCTATACAAGTGAAATAAAAATTATGAATTTTCACATGAAACCTCGGGATAATAAGTTATATAGATAGCTGTGTGCATTAGAAATTATAGACAGAATGAAAAAAAACCAAACTGTCTTTTATTTTCAGAACAGATGGAGTCTGTTCTGTGCTTTGCAAAGCTTTTATTCTTTTATCTAAAAACTTATGCAACTTTGAAATAAAAGTTTTGAGATTATTCTTATGGAAGCTGCCTGAATGCTAAATTTTGTTTTGTATTGCTAAGGTGAATTTTATTAACGGGCAACATAAAAGAACATTTCTGTAATTAAAAAAAAAAGTAGTCATTATATCTTTGAAACTGGATTATGAAGTATTTTAGGTCCCAGTTGTGGGTCTTTTGCTACATACCAAAACAGTTTTTGTCCCAATAATTGAAGAAGACTTGGTAGACATAAAAACAGTTTTAGCCTGATGCTTTTGTTTGTTTCATTGCTAATCTGGATTGTATGCAATTCAGTGGGGGAACTGCTTAAATGGTGCCTTCCCCCAGGTTTAAGATTTTAGTATGAAGATTTTAATAACAGTATATTAATTGTTCTGGTCTGAAAATTCATCTGAATGCATCATTTGTCTTCTTTGAATCTGCTCATATAACTTCTCTAATTATTTCTTGAAATAAGCAGGCTAATTTGAGTCTCTTTGAAAAGGTATTACTTTGAGTGGCATGGCATTCTTTCTCATCTATTAAAATAAGTCCGATGCATTTTATATTGCCACTGAACTTTGAAGTTTCTTTTTTTAAAGCGTGAGTCTGTGGTATCTTTATTTTTCACCAGCATTTGTCTTGTTTTCTAGAAACAGTTGCACTGTTTAATAGCTCCATACTTGGTAAACATTTCAGTGGGTCTTTGGTAGAAAGAAACTGTATGTCCCATTTAAAGGGGAGAAAAAAGGAGAGAAAAGAAAAGGTATTATATTTACTGAAAGCTGCAGGCAGATTACATTTTGAAAGGTGTTCTGCATTCTTTTTTTCTCCTTAAAAAAACCCCCAAAACGCCTTTATGAATCTTCCACTAAAGAAGTGAAATACTATTTCTCATTTATGTCATAAAGTAGGAATATTCTTTCCAAGAAATTAATGATTTCCCTATGAGCTTTTATAGTAACTATCAAGAGCAATATTTTTGCTGCTCTGTGCTGATGAGACCCTAATTGGAGTGTGCTGCTCTGGGGCCCTCAATGTAAGAAGGACCTGATAGTCCAGGAGCAAGTCTAGAGGCCACAAGGTTCATAAGAGGAGTGGAGCACTTCCCCTATGAAGACAGGCTGAGAAAGCTGTGGCTGTTCAGCCTAGAGAAGAGAATGTTGTGTGGAGACCTGATTTCAACCTTCCAGTCTCCAAAGGGGTCTGCAGGGAAGCCAGAGAGGGACTGTTCATCAGAAACTGTAGTGATAGAGGACAAGTGGGAATGGCTTAAAACTGAGAGTAGGTTTTGATTAGATTTTGGGAAGAAGTTCCTTACTGCGAGGGTGATGAGGCACTGGGTTGCTCAGAGAAGCTGTGGATGCTCCATCCCTGAAAGTGTTTGAGGCCAGGTTGGATGGGGCTTTGAGCAGCCTGGTCCATTGGAAGGTGACCTGCCTATGGCAGCAGGGTCAGAACCAGGTGATCTTTGTAGTTGCTTTCAACCCAAACCATTCTGGGATTCATGCAGCTTGGAAGGAAGAAATAATACAGGTATTGGATGACATCCTGTATTATTAATTAAATAGTGCGTAAGAACAGGGCATAGTTTACTTTCTCCAGGGCTCAAAGTGGTCACATTTGTTATCTGTTGAATGCTCCCTGTTTACTATTGACATGAATCTGAGGGCAGCTTGTTGGAAAATTAACTGTGTTAATGGCATTTCCCTAGAGATGTGTTTCAAAAATAAGAGGCAAAAGAGTCTTAATGGAGGTGTGCTAGGCAGGACCTTTGACTTGGTGAAGAGACCTGCTCTGTCTCGGAGGGCTCATTGTGCAGGTGACTGAGGCACTGTTGACTCTCTCAGCTGTGCTGTGAGGTCAGTAGGTTGTTTGCTTGCTGTCTGCAGAACCTCACAGAGATTCAGTCTCACAGCATGTAATGTTTTGCTCTTCTGAATGTGATGGGAAAGCCTTTTGGCAAAGGAATAAATGTCTTTTGAAACGCATAGCTGGCAATCAGGTAGTTAAAATCATGTCAGTTTTGATTTTGTGGAATTCAAGAGTTTCAAGACTGATGATACAAAATACACCTCAGATTCTGGCATACAACAGTAGCTGAATTTTAAAACGAGAACAAAAGCTAATCCCTATGAAAGAAAGTTTTATCAAAACAAACATAAAAGAAATATTTTCTATGCTTAGTACTCTACTTTGATAAGCATTTTTTCCAAGGTATCTATTGCTATTTAACTATTCATCATATGTGTAAAATTTTATTGTGTGTCTGATAAGAAGTTTTTCAAAAGCAGTTGCTATTGTGTAAGGGGCTACAGTTCATCCATGTCTTCAGTTTTCACCCCAAATAAGAAAAGGAAATGAAAGAATATTAGGGAATAGATTTGTCTGTGTTAAAACAATGATCAACTACAATCAAAGTACAATATATGAAGTTCATGTTCAGTGCCCGTAAATAAGTGGAATGTGTCTGCTTCTGCATCTGCGTCGTAGGGAGCAGCATCAGCAGCATCTTAAGCCTGAAATTCCAAACAGGGAGCAATCAGGTGTTTCAGTGAGTGGCAGTCCCAGGAAAAGGGTTGTAGTTCATGATCACCATTTAGGTCCTTTCTCTTTCTTTGCTCTGTGTAGCTAGAGGTATTCCTGAGATTAACATCTTTTCACTTGCAGTTTGTCTTCATGCTTCTGCAGTTCATGGAGTAGGAGTCCAAGAACCCGTGTTCTACAATAGCATGTCTCTGCCATTAGATCCACGGTGGCAGCAGGAAATGGAGCAGAAGCAGCAGCTGGCTGCTAGCTCTCTGTTAACTAGGAGCTGGTGTCCGCTGCTTTATCCATCATGGGAAGATTATGTTTCTCTGCCCTTACCCTACAGGCATATCTTTCTCAAGGCAGGGGCAAATGTAAATGTGTTCAGTGTAATTTTGAGCATTGTGGGCCTATCTAATCAAGCCCTCAGGTCATGCTGAGTAAAGGTACTTGTGCCTTTTAACTACAAAGTGGTATCTACCAGCCCTTTGCATTAGTCTTAAATAGCCTTATGTGTCAAAAGATAGAAGGTGTCTGTGTTTAAACAGATAAATCCTGTCATAGTCTCTCCTGACAGTCAGGAAAGTCACATTCTTGCAGAACTGGTTGCAGGGTTTTTCCATCCACTCTGGGGAGCTGGCTACCTAGGAGGGTGAAGAAATACAGGTAAGTAAGGGAGTGTACCTTCTTTACAAGCAGCCATTGCTCAAGGGGTTGTGTAGGTTGCTGCATTGAATCATGATGGTAGAAAAGGTGTAAATGTGTTGGGAATAGAAGCTACTACTCTCTTCCCTGGCTGGCAGGAGCATGCCCTTCACTCCTAAAGTTCTTGACTCCTAATGTCAAGGACATTACTAATATATATTACTTTCTGTTCATCTGCAACAACTTTTAGGTTTTCAGTGGCATACTAAGTTCTGTTATATTTAAAAATAATGTTTCTTGTATATTTGGAAGCCTTTTTCTAATAAAAAAAATACTGAATTAGTTGCTTGATAGCATGCTCAGCTAAGCAGTAAGCAAGGAAAATACCTCTCAGTAAATGTACTCTACAATTGAGCAAATTTCCTGTGCAGTTCCTTTAGCTAAGTCACTTTCCTGTTCTTTTCCAATGTTATCCAAAATAAATTTTTTTCTTTTACAGTGTTATCCAAGATAAATTTTGTGGTATCATCAACATTTCAGTTGAAGGACTGAATGATGTTATGACTGAAGATTCTGAAACAGGAACATACAAAGAGTAAGTGGAAAATCTAATTTAAACTGGGTTTAACAGTAGCAGTATTGTTTTATATGAAGTATTTTTATTTTAAAAGTATGTAGGCAGTTAATACGTGCTTGTTAGAGATCTGTTTTCTCAAGAGTGAGTGTTTTAGGAAGACACAGAACTTTGGTCTTAAAAGAAAATCTTTGCAATGGGGAAAGAGGTCTTAAAATGACAGTATCATTTTATATTGTTCATTAAGTTACCTACTAAATGATGTCTTAAAGCATTCATATGCTTAGATTTGCTTTTTGCTAACTTGGCTGTTATATCTAAACTTTCATTACAACAAGCTTGTGTATTGATAGGGACCACCCTTGCTCAGAGGTAGTTCAGAGTTTCTTTTGAGTGTGACTGAACCTCATGTGAGTTTACCTAGTGTACAGCCTGCAGAACTTAAAAGTATATCCCACAAGAGTTCTCCAGTTGTTCCAGGTATCACATGTACTGCTACAGGATATATCCCAAAAGACAGTTTCCCGAGCTAGGAGCTTGAGCTTGCTTGTGGCAGGAATGTGGATGTTGGAAGTGTCCAGAGTGCACTGCCATCCAGCACCACACTCATTCATCTCCTGATGGCTCCCTGGTTACTGGCTGTAGTCCATCAAAGCTGGGAAAGAAAAATCAACCCAATGAATAGTAAGATACTTTTTGAATGGACATCTTAATGCCATTTTTATCTCTGTAATGATTACTTACTTTTAGAATGGAGAGTTGTAAGACATTAAAAACAGGTGCTCTGCAGGATATTCTTACAGACCATGCTAGTAGAAGAATTTACTGATGCTCTGAATCAGGCATTTTCTTGCAGATCATTACATGGTGATTGAACAGACTCTATCTGAATTAATTAATTTACTGCTTAAGGGGATGTTTGCTGCCATTGAAACTAGGTGGCACAGAACAGCCAAATGCAGTCTGTTAAGTTTTTCTCCACTTAAAACAAGTAGTATGCACACAACTGTGTGTTCAGAACAGTCCGCACTCACACTGAGCCTGAACTATGCCTAAGAATTTCTTGCCAAAGTACTTCCACCAAACTCTTAGTAAAGAAGATGCAAGTCTCCAAAGTCTGGGAATAGGCACAATGTCTGGCACTGTGTTTTGTTTACTGTTAGAGAAAACATTGCAGAGCCCTTCTATTTCTAAACATGTTGCTTTGCCAGCTCTTGTTGAAAATAGTTTTCACCAAGAAATAAATAAACTTTATCCTAGTTCATTTCATATTGTAAGCCTGAAGGCTTGTAGAACTTGCCACTATTTTTCCAAAGTCTGGGCATTGTTTTTATTTCATAAAATGTAGTCACACTGAACCAAAGACATATTTTTGTTGGCAGGTTCTGAAAGAGCTGTTTGAAAGATTTTGGCTTTTGCATAATATATTTTGACATCATTTGGAAAAAAAGTGAGAGCAGTCATCCGAAATCATGTGCACTGTTGCTTCTCTTCAGACTAAAGAAGAATGGCTTAGGCCCAAACTGGTTCGGAAGAAAGATAATGTGATGTCCAGTGATTATCATATTAGCTAATGATTGTAGTGCAGGAAATAAAATTGTGTGTGTTTAACACAGGAAGATCAAAGCTGAAACACTATAGAACTTTAGCCAATGAAGGATGAAGAGTGGATAAATGTGTACAGGGAAGATTATAAAGGTTAAGCAATGGCACTGGCTTAAGTAGCTTAACCAGTTTAAGTGAACACATTTAAGCGGGAATTTTAAGGAAACTGTTGTAGTTAGAGCAGTGAGATTTTGGAAGCAGTAAAAGCCTTGTCATTTTTTAGATTAATATTGGATTTTAATCAGGTTATGGAAATGTTTACACTGTCTTACAATACAAAGGGATAGTCAGATTTCCTCGAGTTCATATTTCACACTGTAGGGATAATTATGAGAGAGCTTTACAAACCTCAAATTTTCTGGGAAGGGAAACATTCCCTTGCTCTAGACTTTTTTCACTAATACTCAGATTTTTCCCAATTTTATCACCATCTCTTCTTTTATTTTCTCTTCTCCTTGTGTTTGGAATTTTGTGGTACCTAAAGTTTATGATGGTCTGAAAAAGTTAATTCAGTCTTCTATGTTGACATTGACAGTTTTGTCTCCTTTTCCTTTAATAAACTCAGATGCAAGCAGCCATTTGTGAGCAGAGGAGATATGCAGTTTGCTGTATTATTTAAAAATAACTAATCCCTTTATTAAAAATGGCTTCTGTGTTAGTACTTACCCTGCTTGCCGTGCTGTTTAGTAAGTGTTTCATACAGCTCTAAACACATGTTAATAGAAAACTAAATATGTAAACAGAATAAGTCTGAACATTTTCATATAAAGTCATATAAAAACACATAAAATCACAACTTTTTTTTCATTTAAGTAACATTAAAATGGATTCTTCATCTTAGTTGATGGAGCATTTCACATGCTAGTGGATGCACAGTTAATGCAGGACTGAAAATGAGCAATCTGTCTTGGTGCTTTGTAATATGTGAATTATGTGTCCTTCATGTCTTAAATCACAGGTGATACATGGTGGTGGGTTGTCATCACCTGAGTGTTTTTTAAGTAGTTTTGTTTTTTAAGGCAGGAATTCCGGGAAAATATTTGATAAAGGGGTGAATATTTGTCTATTGGTTCAGCCTAGAACATGTAAAGTGAATGAAAGGCATGTTTTCTGTAGGATAACATTCATCAATGTCTTTATAAAGTCCATTCAAACCATTTCAGCAGGTAGGAAAATCTCTGACTTTTAAACTGGATTTTTTTCATATTTTCTGGTTTTATACTTCAAAAATAAAAGTTAAAATATGGCTGTTATTTTCACATATGGGTACCTGCCAGTTGAGGCAGGTATAAAATGAGTTTAATACTTTTGTTCAGTGTCTTGCAGATTTTATTGCAGAATAGCACTGTCCTTAATAGTTTTCAGGTTCTTTTGTCAAAGATCTCACAGAAAAACATGAATGCCATGAGACATCTTTGCAATCTTTGTATCTCTTTAGCCACTTTGACTTTGTATAGAGCGCTTGTGTGATATTTTCTTGAAAAAGAGTGGAAATCTTTTGTAAGGAACAGTAGGTTTTTCTGTATTTTTTAAAGCCATGTAGTCTGTTTTCTATGTGCACACATGTATTTTAACCCACAGCTTAAGCTAAAACATGAAGCATAACTGAGATTGTTACATCGGTAAAGGTGACAGAGAACATGCATTCAGCCTTCATTAGATTCAGTGTTCTCGGGAAAAAATTACTTGTGATTAGATTGCCTGACTTTAAGCAAACTCTTATGTCTGTTCTGTGTTTTCAAAAGTGTTTTAAAATATTTTTTAATGATAATGTATGTTAAAATTGTTCTTGTTCCCATTTTTAGCTGCATGTTAATGTCTCATTTTGAAGAGCCCAAAGCTACAGAAGATGAGGAACCCCCCACAGAACAAGACAAAAGGAAAAAAATGGTAACTTTTAGATCTGTTATTCAGTCATGCACCTGATTATGTGCTTCACTTCTGCCACAGTAAATTCTTTTTAGGTTTGGTTGATCTGTTGTTCTTGGAAAATTTGTTTTGAATCAAAAAAAGGAAATTTAATGCCAAACCTTGCAACCACAACACTTGCATCTTGGAAACTGTTATCAAAATCAACATCATATGTCCACAAAATCTGGGTATTACAATACTAACACAATATAGAAGGAATTCACTGAAAAAAGCAGAGAGCTAAACTTTATTGAATGTCATAGCAGGCCAAATTTCTCATATTTAGAAAAACTAATGTGCCTGCATAGAATTTTTTTCTAGTGTGAAAAAGAAGCCAGTGTATACTTGTGTAGCTTTTCTTTTACATTTAAAAGCAATACAATATGTCTTTTTTTTTAAATGTAAACCTTTCCATATTCTTCTGCTATTAGAAATGCCTTAGAGAAATTCCTAGTGTCTTGTATTTTCAGATTTAACCAAAATGCAGAAATATAATTTTCTGTGGTCCTTAAAAATGTATTACACAGTTCTATAATTGTTACTCTTAAAAGCATCTCTAGACTCTGTTAGATTTCCTTCTTGCTTGTGAGCTTAAAGTCTAGCTGATTGTTGCAGAGTGATATTTATTTGTAGTGGTTTTGTATAATCTCTCAATATAGATATATATGTGTATATCATTATTGTTATCAGTAGGGATCAATATGCCTATAGATCAACAGAGAAAGAAATATGTTTGTTAATCAGATTTAAAAAGCAAAAGTTAATTTTAACCTACAATGCTTTTATGTTCTTGAGTATACTCAGACTACATTGCATCTGGCCAAAATTTTAATAGCATTGTGTCAGACCTTAATTTTTCTATTGCAGGTTAACTTCAATAGTTTGGGTATGTGTTGAGGAATTTAGACTTGTTAGATTTGTAATGGACTACCTTCAGTGTGGCTATGTCAGGCAAAATGAAAAGCAGGGCACATTGAATTTTGCTATATCATTAAATTACACATCATACCAATATGCTGCGAATGTACACAGTTACAGTGAGGGAGCCGTTCTGGGGTCACATGCAATACAACATCAGTGGTCATTTGAATAATGATAAATGTGCTTGCATAAGGAGGAGCTTCACCGAACTACTAGGACCAAATGAAAGGTCTTGATTTACTTCCCTTGCATCTATCTTCCCTTACATATATGTTCCTTTGCATATCACTTTCCTTTATTCCCTAAGGAGTTGCTTGCTCTTTGTTCCTCGTCTTCTCTGTAACATTAAGCTTAAACACATCTTCAGCCTTTGTTTTCTTGCAAAGTTTACAGAGAATAATTTATCATACATGAATGTCAAAGCTTCATTTTCGTTTTGAATCTCACAGTCTGAATTGAACTATTTCCATGGTTGCTGTGT